GAAATTTTAAGAGGATGTTTTCTGCCCATGTGTGAGCGCATAAATTCAGCTGTCAGTTGCACCTGGATCTCGTACACATACACATTAAAATTAGGCAGGAAACTAGGGAAACAGAAACGTTGGAAAACTGAAAATATGAGGAAATATTTCCTGTCCATATGCGACTTGGAAATTCAAAATTAGCCTGCATACATGACCATGCTCCACGTATAGCCCGTGAAATTTGACTTGGGAATTTTTCTAGATCGAGTGCCAGACAAAATAGAGAGTTGGAATTTTAAGGGGAATGTGTCCTGCACTTGTACAACAACAAAAATTTAAATTTAAAGTTTCCATGCACTCTTATGCCTCATGTGCAAAACACGTGAAATTCTAAGAAATTGGCGTTTATACATCTGCGCTGGACAAAACTGCACAAAATACACCATCACAGTTGCAAACTGGTGTGCCGTTATTTATTTATTTTTTTCGTCTTCCTTTGCTTAAATGCTGTCAATCGAAGCACTGTTTTAATGTCTTCCCAGTTTAGGCTCTGGCGCAAGTAACTGGCGTTCGGCAAATTCGACAAGCAGGCTACGGCTCATCTGACGTTGCTGTTGAGGGAGCAGTCTCGCAGCAGTCTTCGGTACCACCTGGTGGGTGCTGTGGCTGTGGAGTTTCACCACCAGGCCCTCCAGGTCCGCCTGGCCCTGACGGAAAGGACGGCGCTGACGGCGAGCAGGGACCGCCAGGTAAAAATGGACCAGATGCTCTAGAAGTGCCGGCTCAACAAGCGAAGGTTGAATTCTGCTTTGACTGCCCTGATGGACCGGCAGGACCAGCTGGAAATCCTGGGCCAAAGGGACCACCGGGCAAAGAAGGTCCGCCAGGCCCAAGTGGACCTGGCGGTAGCGGTGGCGGGCCAGGTGAGCCCGGACAACCTGGACCTGCCGGACCTCCTGGACCACCTGGGGAAAAAGGACCAGCTGGGTCACCAGGCGCCTTGTCAGAAAAAGCGGGCCCACCAGGACCACCAGGACCTGCAGGAAATCCTGGACCACCAGGACCAGACGGTGAAGCTGGCGCACCAGGAAAAGCCGGATCGCAGGGACCAGCTGGACCACCAGGAGATGCAGGTGCAAGTGGAGCACCCGGAAAACCAGGCGCTGCAGGAGAAAAAGGACCCGATGGGGAAGCAGGGGCTGCTGGTTCATGCGATCACTGTCCACCACCAAGAACCGCACCTGGCTACTAAATTTCTGAATGTTGGGTCTGCAGATTGAGACACTGCCAGTGATGTTCCACTGCAATTTTTTGTCATTTTTGCTCACAAAATCTCTTCCCTTCAGCCTTATTTCTCCTTCAGCTGTCTTAATCGCATTTGGAAAAAATTTTCGCACACTCAGCAAATATTGAACTACTCTGAATTTCCTGCTGGCTTTCCACTCAAAAAATGCGCGCAAAAGTAATGCGCCATAAAGAGGGCAGGCATATTCAGTGTGAGAGTAAGCAGGAGCAATGAATCTATAGGAAACCAATGTTGATATAAATTAGAAGATGCCTCAAATTCGGGATTTGCATTGATGCCTATATATTTATACGATCCACATACCAAGTGGTGTGAGCTGTTTTCAATGTTAATTTGAATTACTGGTTAATAAAGGGCTATTTTGTGATTGCTTGCTGACTCA